TGATTCTATGGTTCTAAAGCACGCCGTGGGGACGGTGCTGGAAGGCAACCTGAGGGCGAGGAGAGCACGCGGGGCAGCGGTGCTGGGCAGCGCACAGGGGAACAACAGCTCTTCCCTCAGCGGGTCCTGCATGCCCGATTGCAATCACACACAGCACAGCAACGCTGGGAAAGCTGCCTGGGGATTAATAAAAAAGGACCGTAATCTCTTCATGTAATTGTTTTGATATGTTGCTAAACAACTTCAGCTAACATCAGACAAGTGAAAGCACATACTTTTAGACTGAAATATATAAAAATGATTTAATCCATAAAAGACATGAAATTAAGGTTTTATAGTTTCAAAAAAATGCAGAACATTTGTAAGTCAAAAAAAAAAGCTTTGTATTTAATTCAGGAGACTAGAGTTTTATTGGATCTCCTTCTGGGGGCTTTCCCAGGGATCCATCCTTTCCCAGTTATGACACGGAGAACACAGGCAGATACTTCGGGAAAAATATTTGCTCATGGTAAGTTAAATCCCACCCAGCTGTTCCTTTTTAATAGTCAGAATAGTTTAAAGTCGCTAAGTTTTCTTTCTTGAAAAAACAAAGGAATTTATAGACAACTACTTTCTCCTAAAGCCAGAGAAAGCTTCTAATATTTTACAACCTTAATTTAGGAACAATATTTCACAGCTTTTGAGAAGCAATTCATAAAAATGACCACTATGCTTCAAATCTGATTTTGCTGACTGGTTGCAAAAGTAGGTGGAAACTGTTAAACACCACAGGCTAAGACTTTTCTTCTTAATATAGTAGAAGCAATAGACCCCTGAAATTTTAGCATTGCTCGCTTCACCTAAAAGCCACAAAATACATCAGTGAAAACTCAAACTAAAGAAGAAAGGCTAGGAAAAACTTATGGAAGCAGACCAAGTCAGAAGATCACCTTCACGTTTAAGTTACTGTTGGCAGGTAGGTGAGTGTGTGAGCAGGCTCCAGCTGCTTTTAATGAACTACTGGTTTTGCTCTCTACCTACGGAACATCCCAGGGACAGGAGCATTCCGGGCATGGAACTGTGCCACTGGAAATAAAGCCAGGCGGCTGCAAAACTTCATTTTCCACACGAAAAGCCAAGGTCTCGGCAGGCTGATCCTGCAATCCGCACTTCGTATTAGCTCTTGAGGCGCTCACTCCAGCGCTCCGCTCGGATCCCGCGGCAAGCGCAGGACTGGCAGACATCGGATTAGGGAGTTCAAGGACTGTAACTGCTCTTGGCACTGCTCTACTGTGTTAGCGAACAGCCACCAGCTCTGGAGGGTTTTTAAGGAATGCTACCAACGTCTAGAAACTCTATAATCCTCAAGAAAAAACCATGGAGAAGTAGATTTTTTTTATCAGGCTGGAGTTACTACAGGGAGCTTCACGGCAAGACCAACAGAGAGGAGGGATGCAGTGAGGGAAACTCATTCCCTGTTCTGGAGTGTTCCCAAATAAGCTAAAAAAAGCATCCAAAGAATTCAAAGGTTCCCTCTGGGTGTTCAACTCCATGGCAGCACGATATATATATAAGGCATCAATTACAGTGCTTCCTATACTAAAACAAAACTTGTGTAACTTCTGACTAATTCAGTGTCTCGTTTGCACTTCTAGTTCCACATTCAGTCCCGTTTCAGTCTCACCTACTGAAGTGCAAAGAAAAAGCCTTTACTTTAAGTAAGTACAAGAACACACAAGGCCGCGCTAAGACCTCCCATGCAAAGGCAGAAATGCAACAAGTCCGACACCATCTCAGGGGAGACTGGAATTTTTTTAATACGAAATGGCTCACTTTACTGAGTCTTATTTAATTAACCAAACTCTACCACTGCCAACTTAGTGCCCCAGTGCCTCCTTTGCCCATCTGCAGGTTTTCTGTGTATTTCTTACTCCTGCCATTATGTGATCCAGTCTTTGGTTATGTATTACAAAATGGGATCACCCAGAAGACTCATGCAAGGAGGCAGCTGAATTGCCTGCTTGCTTAGGCAGAAGATCATAACCCACACAATCCGAAGGATTAACATGGAGCATTTTAGAAATTAGCTATGTAAGAGCACCAAGTGTAGAAGACAAGAATTCACAACATAAATTAGGCTGAGTGTACAAAACTGAAGACTACATATTTGTTCTTGCCAGGTGAAACACTATAATATTGTTCAGTTGGGTTAGTAAGCAAAGCTATTTATTTAATTTTACGTGTTTCATCTCATTTTGCACAGTAAGTAGTAAATTGTACCATGTCATCTTTCAGAATGAGGAAGGCAAGATTGATTATAAGCAGCTGTCCGCAGTGTTGCTGTATATCAGAAGTCTTGGTGCAACGAGTCTCCCTGGAGCGTGATCCCCCAGCCCCTGCTCACCTGCCAGGAATCCTGCCAACACCAGATCAGCTTAAAGGGAATTCCCCCAAACACAATCTATTCTCCACAAGATTAAGACACACTAAATATTTTTAACATTTTATTACCTGGAGCTACCCATCTATCTGTGTTACTAATAGGTTTCAGAGACCACCAAGAAAAAACAGAATTCACCTGGGAGTTCACAGGGGAAACCTCCTATCGAGTATTATTGTTGATTTTGGCCCCCTCAGGGCAAGACACAGCAAAACTTTCCCATGTTGAGTATCAGGAATTCCTAAGATCTAGAGATCTGGTCTCTGTTGATTTGTGTTTATTATGATCCTGCAAAGATTCAGTTTTTAAATACATACAAATTCAACCTAGGCAGTTATAACCAAAAGCTATATTTAAAGAAGAATTTAGCAAAAACACACAAAAAAATAATTTGCATACTGTTTAATGACATTGGATACTAATTTCCTCATCACCTGATTATGACTAATCTTACTCTTCCTTTTTTTGTTTCTGCACTCTCATTTTTGTTATCCACTTAAAGAGCAGCAGTCCCTTGGAGACCCAGTTCTAAAACCATTTGCAGCCATTATTAATTTGAAAATAAATTTTTATGTAACAAGAACAGAAGAAGTGAACAACTCTACTCTACAGACCTTCCAAAACTTCTTTTAATTCACACTGTGCTACTGAGAATTACGATTTCTCTTACAGATAAGACTGTGGAACAGCAATGCTGATGATCCATACCTAACGGAGCTACCACTGGCAAATAAATAGTCTGGTGGGCAAACCAGTTTCTGCTCAAAACAATAAAAATATCTTATTTTTAGGTCTAGACATCACAGAGCTGGAGACTACGTTAGCTAAGTCTCCACTAAATTTTTTTTTGCATGGACACGGACATGGAAATGGAAATAGCTGCACATAAGATACGGCGTAGCAGCTGGGATGTGCTGTTCTTGGATGAAAATGGCATTTTGGACCTGGCTTCCTCCACATGCTCCAGCATCCTGTGAGCACCTGAGCATGTGCCAAGACCAATGCTTCTGGGTGGGCATGCGAGGAAATGAAACATTCAGAGGCAAGAAAGCAGAAATATATCCCTGGAGACAGGAAAAAAAGGACGTTCCTAGGACAAGTCAAAGAAAACAGGTTTTGGGGAGTAGGAGGAAAGGCAAATTTATTCTTGAAAAAACAAGAGGACTTTGCTCAAGACTGGTAGGTTGCACTCAATTAAACAAAAAATAAATAAAAATAAAAATAAAAGCACTTCTCTTGTGTGTGCATGTTTAGAAACATGGAAGGAAAAGCTGGGGAACTCTTCACGTTGGGGCATTTTCTAGAGCAAGCAAAAGGAGAAGTCTTTTGCAGCAGCACTCAGTGTCCAGGTTGGTTAAACTTTTCCTATAAAACTTCTCAATGATTTTCTCAGACTTCCTGAGAAAATAAAGGTTTAGAAGGAGTCGTCACTTACCAATGCACTTATGCCAAATGCTTCCTAATGGAATTGCTTCCAAGAAGCAATGAATTTGCAATGGAAGCTCCTGCTTATCTTCCTCTGCATCTCTAAAATCATAAGCTATGAACAAGTATGATTAAGAGCTAGCATCTGTCATTTTTTATACATTTTTCAAAATATGTTACTTTCTGTCTCTCTCTCCAGGAATCAGTTCAGCTTTATCCAGAAGCGTCACAGAATTCAACAAGATTTTCAGAAAAGCTAACTCAAATTTTAAATTTGTAATGAAACTCATCAAATAAAGGCTCATGTCACACTGAAGCAAATGAAAGATTCACATCATCACAGTTTTTCTCCTTTAAAAGTGATTAGTATGTATTAAAAAATTTAATATTTTTAATTTAACACCCAATTAAAATATTTTTAATTTAACACCAGAAACATCTTCTCCTATTTAACAGACACAGATAAAGTAAATAGTTAGGGGAGACAGGGAAAAATGAGAGGAAGGCTTTTATGAAAAGGAGAAATTTTTAAAAATCTGAATATGCTTTTGGAAAATAGG